AGCTGGAACCAGGTTCCTGGCTCGGGGGCACCGCAGCCTTTTTCTGACAGCTCCATGTCGCTGCCGCATCTCACCGGTGCCTCATTCCTCTCCCTTCTTCCTCTCCTGTCTGCCTGCGTCTTACGGCCATTTGTGCTCCGGGTTTCAGGGCAGGGAGCAGCTGAGTCTCTGCACCCCCTGCCTTGGACCACCGGGCCTGACCCCCGCCCCAGCCCCGAGACACGGGGCCCTCGTGCGCCCCCCATGCCAGCATCGCCAAGACCGGCAGAGCACCTCCCCGAGGGACCCAACCTGCTGCTCCACACTGGGCGAGAGGGGGGTGCCGGAAAGGCATCCTGCCCCCAGGGACTGATGCCGCTCATTAGAGACCATCCCCAGGGGATCTCCTGGCCCCTCTTGGAGGGGCTGGAGCTGCCGCGGCCTCTGCTGCAGGCAGTTTCCCAGACTGCGAGTCGTCCCTGCCACTCTTTTCTGAACCCTCTGCAATTGCTCCACGTCCTTCCTGAAGAGCAGGCACCAGAACCGGGCCCAGCGCCCAGCAAGGGGCTGTGCAGGGAGGGGTGCCAACTCCCTGATGCTCCCCTGCTTGCACAGTTGCAGGTGCCACGCTGGGCACTTGGGGTCTGGCTATCGCTGCCCGGGCGCCCCATGCCCTCTAGGTCCCCGTTCCCCCCGTCAGTCTGGCCCACGTCCTTGGGGCCTGGAGCCAAGGAGGCTCCTAGCCACGTTGTCCCAGCCTGGTCCGTGGGACCGAGCCGTCCACCCCAGGAGTCACGGTCGTGCTTGTCAAGTGTGCACTTCTCCCAGGTCATCCCTAGACAGCGAAGGCTGCTGGGCCATGGGCTTGGCCGTGTAAAACCCTGCTAGAAAGACCTCAGACACCTCTTTGCTAGTTGTACCACCTCTGCCGTTTAACTGGTTTTTTGCCCATTGATGGCTGTCTGCTGTGAAAGTTGCCTGGTAGTAACCGAAATTTCTGGCCTGGGGCTCCGGCCGCTTTGCCATAAATCCCAGTCTCACCAGACACGCTAGTGGACTTCCCTGACAGGATCCATTTCCCGTGAACCCCATTGACAGGCATGCTTTACACTATCCTCCTTTGCTCTTTACCGATGGCTTCCTGCATCGGCTTGTCCATGGTTTTACCTGGTGTTGATGTTAGGCTACTTGGTTTGTCACTACCTGAGTCATCCCTTTTTCCTTTTTAAATATTTGCCTAATATGAGCTGCTTTGTCATTCTCAGGTCCTCGGCCAGTTCTTTTACAACTCTTGAGTGCAGTGACCTGATCCTGTGGATCAGCAAACATGTGGCTTTAGCAGCTGCAGGCTGACATCCTCCCTCGTTACGGGGAGCACAGGACATGCTTCCTCCTCCCTGTACGCTGTGAACACAACGTCCTGCTGCTTCCCCAGCGGGGCACAGAAATGTCTGCTGACATCTCTGGCTCTCTGCAGTGCCACGGGAGGAAGCGCTGGAGCCCAGACTGTGCGTAGGAGCCGTCAGGCTTGGGCCGTGGGAGCTTGGCCACCTGCCAGGTCTGTCACAAACGCAGCTATCCCCAGACTCCGCTCTCCATCGCTCTTGTCCCCGGTTCTGCCCTTGCTTTTCTCCCCCTGAGCCTGCGAGCGCCCAGCCCATTGCCCTGCCTTGGCGCTCTGCTCGTCCTGCACTGCAGGGCTGGTGCCACGGCTGGATGTCGGGGCCACTTCTCTGGGAGCTGGGGCTCTGGGCGGGGAGTAGGGGTTGTGGGGCAGAGTCTGGGCTCGGGGGGGAGCAGGGCTTTGGGTGTGGAGTAGCAGGTGATGAGCGGGGCTGTGGGGCGGGGGTGGAGCGGGACTCTGGGGTGGTTAGCAGAGGGCAGTGAACAGGGCTCTGGGCAGGAGCAGGGGCTGGCGAGCAGGGCTGTTGGCTGGGGAGTGGGGCTCTGGGGTTTGGAGGAGGGCAGTGGGGTTTTGGGGGGAGCAAGGCTCTGGGGCAGAGAACAGGGCTCTGGGATGGGGAGCGGGGCTCAGGGGTAGGAGCAGGGCTTGGGGAGAGCGGGACTCTGGGGCAGGGCGCAGCGCGGTGATCAGGCCTCTGACGTGGGCGATAAGGCTCTGGGCTGGGGAGCGGCGCTTGGGGTGGGCTCTGGGGCCTAGAACAGGGCTTTGGGTTGGGAGAGGGGCTCTGGGGTGGGGAACAAGAGTTTGGGGTGGGGAGCAGGGCTCTGGGCAGGGAACGGGGCTCTTGGGAGTGAACAGGGCTATGGGGTGGAGAATAGGACTTGGGGAGAGTGGGGCTCAGGTTGGGAGCAGGGCTTCATGTGGGGAGCAGGGCTCTGGGCCAGGAAGCAGTGTGGGGAGCAGGGCTCAGGGTTGGGAGCAGGGCTGTGGGGCAGGGAGCTTGGGGTTGGTAGCGGGGCTCTCAGGGGGAGCAGGGCTTGGGACGGGTGCCAGGCTCTTTCTGCATGTCTGACCCATGGGCTGGCAGACGCGGGAGCCCCGCGTAGTCGGACTCGGTGCTCAGTGACCTTTCGTAGCCCTGCTTGGCCCCGGCAGTCCCCCCGCATCCTGGGGAGCTGTTGGGATCCAGCTGGGGAGGCTAAGGGGGCTGGTTCAGTCGCGCCCTCTCCAGACCCACCCGACCGAGCTGCTGGTGGGACGCGGGAGGTGCCAGGCGGCCTTGGGAGCCTCGTCCCCCTCCCGCTGCTTCTGGCCCCTGTGCCCACACCCCAGCCCCTCACCCAGAGCCCCCAGCTCTCTGCCCCTTGCTCCTCTGGCCATGTGTGACCACGGTGCCTCCACGCGGTGCCCCTGTGCCGCTGGCGCCTGCCTCCATCGTGCAGCCCCGTCGTGGGGCCCGTTCTCCTGCTGCAGTGGGGCGTGGGTGCTGGTGTCAGCCAGCGTGTGCCGCCGGGGCATGCAGAGGGCTGCGCTGCTGCAGGCGGGATCCGATGTGCGGCGGGATGCACACAGCACATGCACATGGAGCCGCTCGGGGTGATGGGGGGCATGGGGGCGTCTGGCTCCGTGCAGCGCAGCGTCCAGGCCCGTGTGGTGCCGAGGCTCGTGGCGGAGCGGGGGTGTTACCTCGAGGTTGGGCAGGGAGAGGGAACAAATCTCGGAGCCGTCCAGGCATCGTGGCCCCTCCTGTGAGCCCCAAAATATGGACATCTCCTGGCCGGTGCCTCTTCCCTAACCCTCCCTCTGCCAGCTCCGGCCTCCTCTGCCCCTGCTGTGGCAACAGCCGGGCTGAACCAGGCCTTTGCTGGGTGCTGAGCGCCAGCCTGGGCCCTTGGGGAGACCGAGCAGGGCTGAGGGGTGTGCGATGGCTGTTGGCTCGTGCTGGGCAGCCAGCAGGGCCTGGGAGCCTGGCAGGAGCGCTGGGGCGAGCAGGATCCAGGGCTGCCCTAGCCTTGCCCTTGCCTATCTCCTTGCCCCTCTCCCCTATCCCTGCAGCCGCGCTGGGGGGGTCCCGGCCTGGCGGGCGCTGACGCAGCTCCTCTCCTGTAGGGCATCCTCCTGAAGCGCAGTGGCAAGTCCCTCAACAAGGAGTGGAAGAAGAAGTACGTGACGCTGTGCGACAACGGGCTGCTCACCTACCATCCCAGCCTGCACGTGAGTGCCACCCGGGCTTGCGGGGCAGAGGGAGCCCCAGGAGTGGGTGGGGGTGCAAACCGCCTGACCCCGGCAGATGCAATGCTGCAGCCTCTGTGCAGCGTGTGCTGGACCCTGCCTTCCCCGGGTGGGCTGCTCCTTGGGGCCCTGGACACCTTCTCCAGTGCTGGCTGTGCCCCGGCTTGGTGCAGCAGGGGCGAGGAGCAGGGTGCAGCGAGGTTCCCGGCGGCTGGGTGTTGGGTAGCGGTGCCGCATGGCTGTGTGGGACCTGCTGCGCGAGGCTCTCCGCTGCGTGGCTCAGGCGCACAGCTGCCGGCCCCATCCATCTCTGTCGCCGACCCACTGCGGGGCTAATGGCTTTTCCCCGCTCCCTCTTGCACACAGCGTGCGGCGGGGACGGCGTGCACCTGTGGCATGGTGGAGCGCGACGTCCTCCGGACGGAGGGGATCACCGCGGCACGGCGCCTGGCCGCCGGGTGGGGAAGGCCGGCTCGGCTGAGCACGGGGCATGGGCAGGCGCGCTCTCCGAGTTGGGGCCTGGCATTTTATTACATGCTATAAAAAAAAAAAAAAAAAAGACAGAGGCCCCAAGAGGGGGCACGCGG